AGTGTTCACTCATAGCAAGGAGTGAAGTATTGATACATGTTATAACTTGGATGAACCTCAAAAACGTAAGTAAGTCACACAAAAGGTCACATACTGTATAATTTCTTTTAAATAAAATATCCCAAATAGGTAAATCTATGAAGACAGAAATCACATTATGATTACCAGGGGAGAGGGGAGAAGGGAAGGAAGAATGGCTACTTTACGGGGCAGTAAGTAGTGAGAACATTTTGAAACGAGAGAGGAGATTGTACAGTGTTGTGAATGTGGTAAGTGCCGCTAAATTAGATACCTTAAATGATCAATTGGATTTCACTTCACTTCTTTTTTTCACTTCACTTTTTAAAAGCTATGCACACACATAAAAGTTTAGTTTCTGGGACAACGTTTTTTGTGAGTTTTTATGCATATTACTTTTATAGTAATGCTACACTGATCTCATAATTACCATTGTATCATATGAGTTCATGTTGGCTGAGACTAGTTCATTAAGATTCTTATTTTTTTATTTAAAAATCTGCAGGCACCTCAGTCGTTCTGTGACACTGCTTTCATGAGTGTCACTGATGATCTATTTAACTAACGAGTCTTTGCTTGAAACCTCCTGAGGCCATTTAATGGCAGGGTTACTCTGTCCTAGAAAATTCTCCTCACATATGTCCACAGCCATTATTTTCAGATTGCATTTTATTGCAGTGCTGTTTTTGCTGTGTTACCCCACTAAACTTTGAGTTCTGTAAGGCTGGGGATTCTAGCATACTTTTGCATCTCTAGTATTTGACATATAATAAGCACCCCAAAAACACTTTATTTATTTAAAGATCATTTTATTGGGGGTCTTATAGCTCTTATAACATCTATTCCATCAAGATAGCTGTACATATGTTGCCATCATTATTTTCTGAACATTTACTATTTGAGCCCTTGTTATCAGGTCCTCTTTTTTCCCTCTCCCTCTCCCATCCTCATAACCCCTTAATAAATAATTTATTATTATTTTCATGTTACACCAACAGTTGTCTCCCTTCTCCCAAGGTTTCGGTTGTCCCCCCCTCCCAGGGGGTGGTGGTGGTTATGTGTCGATCATTGTGATCAGTTCCCCCTACCTCCCCTATCCTCACCACCTTCCCCCTACCTTCCTGGTATCACTATTCCCGTTTCTGTTCCTTAGGGGTTTATCTGACCTGGATTCCGTGTGTTATGAGCTCTTATCTCTTACCTGTACTTGTGTATATGCTCTGGTCTAGCCTGCAGTAAAAGGCAGGACTGGGGTCATGATAGTGGGGGGTGAGGAAGTCCAAGAAACCAAAGTAATATTGTGCCCTGGTTGACTCATCCCTTCATTGTAACCCTTCTGTGAGGGGATGGCCTATTGTCTATAGGTGGGTTTGGGGTCTCTACTCTGGCCCCCCTCATTCACAATAATGTTTGTTTGTTGTCTTCTGATGCTTGTTACCTGATCTCATCGACACTTCATGATCGCACAGGCTGGTCTGCTTCTTCCATGTGGGCTTGTTGCCTCTCTGCTAGATGGCCACTTGTTTAACCTCAAGCCTTTAAGACCCCAGACACTATCTTTTGATAGCCGGGCACCATCAGCTTTCTTCACTACATTTGTTTGTGAGCCCATTTTGTCTTCAGTGATCATGCTGGGAGGGTGAGCATCACAGAATGCCAGGTTGTTAGAACAAAGTGTTCTTGCATGGAGGGAGGGCTTGAGTAGAGGCCCAAAGTCCATCTACTACCTCAATGTATTATCATGTAAATATATGTACATAGGCCAATACCTCTATTTTATGAATTAATTATTTACATATATACACACGTTTACACCTCTACCCATGGCTTTGCTTCTTAGATCTTTCCTCTGTTCCAAGAAACATTTTAAATGAATCAGTAAATGATGTAACAAACCCATTTCTGTTCCCTTTCTTAAGGGAACATTAACTTAATGTTTCCTCCATCTCCTCAGACTACAAATCAGAATCACTTTGTACCTTTCATGTTTATATTTCAATTTCCCCCCCAAATATTTTTACCTTTTAAAAGCTTTTCAAATCACTACCTCTTCTGGCTCCAGAGCTACCTCTTCCCTTTCTTCATCTCTCAGACTGCTGTGGTTGCCTCCCAACAGGACGGCTGGTTTCCATTCTGACATGCCAGTCGAACCCTCAAACTGTCTTTTAGTTTTAACTCTTGATATTTTATCTAATACCTAAACTTCTTAGCCTGGTTCTCAGAGTCCTGGGCAATGTGGTTCCTGCTCACTATATTGTCCTCATCTCTCACAACTTCCCAGTGTACTTCTTACGCACCAGACATCCTAATTTACTTAGTTTACCAACACGTGGTCCCAGCTGATGCCTTTGCACAGCATGTCTTTCTGCTTCCTGAAGTGTCACATCCGGCTTCTCTTCAAAGGCCACTTCAACTGCTCGCTCCTTGGTGAAATGAACCCATCTTCAGTCTTCCTGTACAGTTTGTCCAAATCTATACTAACATATTATAAACTCTCGGTAAACATGCTCACCATCAACATAAGCTCTTTGAAAATAGGGACCACATATAGTTGAATTTTGTATCCTCAAAATCTATGTATTAGTCTAGGTACTGGAGAAACAAATCATAAGATAGAGAGTAGATGTTTTTGACCTCTCCCTTATGGTACCGTGGGAGTGGGGTACTATTTGTTTCTCCAGTACCCCACTCCCACGGTACCATAAGGGAGAGGTCAAAAACATTTTCTCTCCATTTAAACCCCCGACATTAGGTCCTCATTTTTCCCCTCCCTCCGGGTCTCTTGTTTTGTGATGGTTGCATCAGGTGCAGCTGCCTTAGCAGTTCTCTGCTTCAGCTTGCAAGATGGATTTCCTACAAGACATCCCCAAGGAGAAGCCGTATGGATCTATCCCGATGCAGCCCTGGGTGCTGGAGCAGCCGTGTGGAGACCCCTGCCAGTGCTGAGATGCTTACACGTTCACTGACTCAGCTTTCCTCCTGCAGTCGGCATTATTGCCTCTGTTTTGTGAGGTGGAGGACTTTGTGGACTGGTGTTGGGTTAATGGGTTAATGTTGGACTTGTGGGCTTGGGCAGCATTGGGTTGGGATGTTTTCGTGATGCACCTTTTCTTTACATAAAACTCTCTCTTATACTTGAGTTGCTGTGGATTTGTTTCTCCAAAGTACCTAGACTAATACAATCTAGCACACATTAGTGCTCAAGAAATGGTCATTCATTGCATTAGTGAATCATTATAAATTTTAATGCTAACAGTGACTACTTTATGCAACCAAGATTAGTTGTATTTAACCACTGTGCATTTTAACCACGGTGTGGCAGGCACTGGTGCTGGGGTCAAAGCATCATCCTGGCATGTAGGTTTCAGTAAATGACATTCTGTGAAAACAACAAAACAAAATTCTGCAAAGTTCTTTCTCCATTGTGTGGGGAGAGGGTCCCCTACAAATCATCACAGGTTCGGTAGGCACAATTGTACAATGATAACAAGTAAAGATTATAGTAAAGTCATAGAGAGCATGAGAGGTAGAGGAGAGAGTCAAATATTGGAGTCAGACACAAATCATGGTAGCATGCTCACCTCAGCCCCGCTTGGTGGTCCTCATGGGGGGAGCCCGGCCATGAGACCAAGAGAGGGCTCCAAGTGCGAGAGCAGGAGCCCCCTGGAGCGAGGACCAGGGAGAGCCTCCACTTTATTGCTAACCAAATGTTATATATTATTAGGGGGACATGATTACAGGTAACCACACGTCACAGGAAGGGGCAGTACAATAGGCATACACATTGTAGGAAGGGGATGTATGATAGGCATAAGCGTAGCAGGAAGGGGAAGAGCTAGGGGTGTGCCCATCGGAATGGGAAGATCTAGGGGTATACATGTGACAAGATGGGCAGACCCTAGATTCATGGTGGCAGCTAACCCTGGTCATCCTTGGGCGGGTTTGACCTCTCTGGGGTCTCCTACAAGGAAACAGACAACTACTATCCTTATCAGAAGGGGAGTGGGCCCTACTTGTTGTGGGATAAACAGTGGTGTCTGCTTTGTCTAGATGGCTGATAGCTCTTGAGAATGACCTCTAAGCTACTCCTGATAACCTCCAAGTGTATGGTCATTCTCTAGCAGCTAAGTCTGGCATATATTTGGGGGAGACAACTTGGGAGAAATCCTTCTGTTTCCCATACTACTGCATTAATTCATACTCTCCCTGATTTTTAACCTGTTTGTAGAAGTACTTTCCTTTGGCTGCCATTTTGATTCAGTTCAGTGTCTAGAGCGAGTTAAGGAGAAATAATGTGTAGGTGGAATTCTAGGAGAGACTTTAATGAAAGTATAATTTATTTTAGCTCATTGTGATAAGTTTTTTCATTTTTTCCCCTGTAAAATTATAACCAGGAACAATGGTTAATTATACTTCTCCGTAAGCATTTTAGAGACGAGGTGTGGCTATAGAAACCAGAGTTAAAGACCAAAGGACCCACATGTGTAGATCTTATTTGAGGCTAAGGGATAAGGTAAGTCTTGGACGTTTTAGACCAGAAGCATGAGGCCCTTTGGAACATGAGTTTCTAAGGTTGTTTTGCTCATTTTCCCTGAATCACTGGAGTTTTCTCTGCTGACCTCAAAAAACCTAAATGCTGGCAGAGTTTGAAGCTATGTGTCCACTTTGCCTTGGCTGACATCTTGCCAAGCTCCTTTCCGCTTCTTTTGACCTTCCGCAACAATGCCTGTCAGACCAGTTGCCAGGCCCTGCCACAAGTACTTGGAATGAATGCTCACATGCACCTGGAACACCTGTTGTCCTCGTGGCCCCACTACTGGCTTCCTATGGATCACAGCCCGTGGACAAGGTGTTTGGCAAAGGCGGGAAAGCCGTGTGGTGAACATGGGCAGCTTCCTTCTCCTGGGACATTTGGAATACGAGAAACAAGGGGTGGTTTGAGTAAATTCAATGTTGTAACCATGGAGTCTTTCTGATTGCAGAGTTGCCTCACTCACAGAGCTCTCCAACGCTCAGCAGCGCCTGCACTAAAGTGCTCTATTTCACTGACAGGTCACTTACTCCCTTCATGGTCAATATACCTAAGAGGTGAGACTCTGGGTTCATCATTTCTCTGTGGGGGCGGGAGAAAGGGAGAAAGGCAGATCCAGCAGGAGAATTGGTTTCTGCCCATTTTACCAGCTAAGAGATCCCTGAGAAGCAGTACAAGGCACTGAAAAGACACAGAAAACAGGGCTGCTCGGTCCTGCTTTGCCACCGACCAGTTGCATAACCAGAGACAAGCCGTCATATACTGTTAGGTATCATCATAGTAATTCTAATGCTGGTTAACTATGCAATTATGCGCTTAAGTTCAGAAGTCATTTAAGTGCTCCCAATTAGCTCTTGTGTGGAGCTATAAAGTACAGCCTGGCACTCCAGGGGTATTTTTTCCTCCTGGGTTTTTGTTTCTGTTTGGTGATCGCACCCAAGCCCTATTGAGATTTTATATTAAAAACCTACCAAGTCCTCACTTAATAGACACCGTTAAAAGGATACCCTTTTTCCTTTTTAAAAAAACATACTTCGTTCTCTTATTATAAAATATATGTAGCAAAATATTTGCCAATTCTAAGACAAATGGTTATTTAATAAAGACTTAAAACTATCTAAGGCAGCCTTCCTGAAGAAATGTAATATGGTAGCAAAGAAGGCAATTAAAGGCACTTAAACATATTTTTGGTTCAGAAAATTTGATTTCAGAGTTTTACATTTTCTATTCAGAGGCAGAAACAAGGAAAATGATTTGACTGCTGTTTAAGCAACAAATCAATGTAAAAATTTAAGATTACCCCATTTGATATGACACTTTTAATCTTTAGTAATGATAGTTTCCCCGACCCAGAATCTTCTGGGTTTTCAGAAGCAGTGATCTAACGCTTCCTCCTTTTCTTGTAGGCTAGGCGAGGTGACGCTGAAGGATTTTAAAGCAGCTATTGACCGGGAAGGGAATCACCGATATCACTTCAAAGCACTGGATCCGGAGTTTGGCACCGTTAAAGAGGAGGTACAGAATTCACAGGGTGTCTGGGTGGTATTATTGGGCATTCCTGAGCCCTACAGTCTCCCTCTTCAAGACATGACCCAGAACCCGAGTTCCCAGAGTTAGGCCACTATCAGTACTGTAGATCTTAGGTGCCCAACGTTGCTGATCACTGGAATTACCTGGGAATCTGGTGAAACTACAAATCCCTGGGCTTCTCCTCTGAGAGATGCTGATCAGTTAGGTTGCAAATGGAGCCCAGGGATCTGTAGTTTAACCAGATTCCCAAGTGATTCCAGTTATTAGTCAAGTTTGAAAACCTAGGCTTCACAGTGGATCATGGAATGGTCCAAGTTAATGTTGCTTTAGTTCAAAGATTTTAAACTTTGACCAAGAATTGCATTTGAATGTTTATTTTAAACATGAAAAGGCTTTATTTTTCTAAGTTGAATAAAACCTGTAAGATAGAGGCTTGCTTTTGGGGCCCCAAAGATTTGTGGTTTCAGAAGCTCTAAGGAGCATTTCTGCTCTGTCTGATAGGGTCCTTCTGAGTTGGAATTGACTCAGTGGCAATGGGTTTCTGACACCAAATCTAGAAAATGTCCTGCTTCCTACATAGAGGAAAATAAATGAACACGTGTGAATATATGGAACTGTATTATATGTTGCTAACTTCAGCTAATGAAAATGAGGAACTTCTGACATGTAAATTATACTTATTTTCAACTCCTAGAGTCTAAGGGGCTTTGAAAAGTTAATGAAAAAATGGAATTAAAAGTTAAGTGGGATTTTTTCCAAAACTTTTGAAGCCTACTCATATTTTCTTAGCCTTAATTACCTTTATAATCCATTTGCCATAATATAGATTTTTCCTAGAAAGATGTTCTGGGTTATGAAGTATTACAAGTGTCTTCATGTGGTTACTGAATGAAAGAAGTTAGGGAAAATCAATATTTAATAAACATTTTCTTGTTGAAGTGTTTTATTATTTCTGTTCTTAGTGGCTTAGGAAATGAGTTGTATGCATGATTGAAAAGAACTGCAACTAATGTAGCAACGATGAAACATACAACTTTCCTCTCCTTTCTAAATGCTTCCTCCTCCCCCACCCCCACTATCATGATGCCAATTCTACCTTACAAATCTGGCTAGACCAGAGGATGTACACTGGTACAGATAGGAACTGGAAACACAGGGAATCCAGGACGGATGATCCCTTCAGGACCACCGGGAGGGTAGGTTGGAAAGAGGGAACCAATTATAAGGATCTACATATAACCTCCTCCACGGGGGACGGACAACAGAAAAGTGGGTGAAGGGAGACGTTGGAAAGTGCAAGATAAAACAAAATAATAATTTATAAACTATCAAGGGTTCATGAGGGAGGGGCAAGTGGGGAGGGAGGGGAAAAAATGAGGAGCTGATGCCAAGGGCTTAAGTGGAGAGCAAATATTTTGAGAATGATGAGGGCAATGAATGTACAAATGTGCTCTACACAATTGATGTGTGTATGGATGGTGATAAGAGTATATGAGCCCCTGATAAAACGATAAAGAAAAGGAAAGAACTGCATCTAAGGGCCATGTTCAGGTTGATTTTTTTCTATAGACCTTTCTTTACAAATGCTTGGGAACAAAAAACTCCCCTTTGCCACTTTTTATGTACCTGCTTTCTTAGAAACCCTAAGTACTGATTAATCAAATCAAGCCCACTGCCATCAAATCAAGTCTGACTCATAGTAATCCTCTTATACAGCACTTCTGAGGCTGAGCCTGGGTGGCAGGCATAGTGGTTACTTATTGTGTTGCAATCTTCACAGTCCGAAACTACCAGTCACTCTGCTGAAGAAAGGTGGGCTTTCTACTCCCTTAAACAGTTACAGTCCCGGAAACTACAGGGGCAGTTGTACTCTGTCCTACAGGGTCACTGTGAGCCAGCACTGACTACATAGCAGTGACTAATTTTTTGGTCTGAGGCTGTAAATCCTTATGGAGCAGATAGGCTGATGGGTTTGAACCCCCAACTGTGAGGTTAGCTGCCCAACCTGCCAGCAGCATCAGGGCACCAGGTATTTGATTAGTAATATATTAATTCTCCTATATGAAATATACTATAAAAATGTAGTAGAGATGATTTTTATGATTTCATAGATTTGAGACTAAGAATTAAATGCATGTATGTGTATATCTGTGTATGTGTACACAAGTATAAACCATG